TTGCTCTACCAAAAAAATTTATGCCATTGTTATAAAGTATCTGAAGTCATTTTTATTTTTAAAAAATCATCATCTTTTGATAACAAAAAAAAACTTCAAAAATTTTGCCTTACCAAAAAATTTATGCTATTGTTATAATGTTTCTAAAGTCATTTTTATTTTAAAATGATCATCATCTTTTGGTAACAAAAAAAAATTTAAATGCACAAAAATCATTACAATAAAACTGTGTTCCATAAAAATATTGATACTAAGTTGACATAATAAAATTTGTGAAGAATCGATGCAATCTTAAACAGTGCGATATATTGAACTTATTGGCAAAGATTTCCAAAAGCAAAAGGCAATATATTAATACAATATTTTGAGATATATAAAAATAATATAAAAAACATATAGATAATTTTTAATACAATGATAATTACTAACATTAAAATAGGTTTTCTTAGAGTCATTTGGAGTCAAATTCATTTTGGCGTTTGTCACTATTTAACAATAACTATCCAATGGAGTAGACAACTAAACCCAGAAAATTCTATAGCCTAGAACAAAAAAAATAAATTTACACAAAAATTACATATGTATGCATTCTTTTTATATAAAACATGTGAAATAAAAGAGATGCCATAAAATTGGATGAGTAAAAAAAGTAAAAAACAAAATAGAAGCAAAAACTTTATGAGTTTTTAATAGAATGAGAATTTCAATGTAATTAGGAATTTAATGGAACTTTAACGGCATGAAAAGAAATATTTTTATAAATTAAAAATTCTCTAACTAATGAAACTAAATAAACAGTTCATAAGTAAATAAATTTTTATTTGCATTGTTATAACTTATAACATATAAGTGTAAATTTAAAGTTTTATTTCAATTTCCCCCACTGTTTCTACTAATCCCATATATCACATCTATACTGAATTTAAAACTAAGTGCTAAAAAATAGACTTTAAACTTATAGAATTAGAGACGATAGGAGAGTGATCTCTTTACAAGGTCATTCTCCTATCCTACGTTAGGACAATATGAGAGGACATATGTTAGTTAGGACATATGAGAGGAAACCTTTGAGTCGAAAATATTTTGTTTAACAAAACTACAAAAAAAAACTAGAAAGACTTAAATGCAGAAATACCTAATCATTAGGCTAACATTTCTTAAAAATTAGGCAAATGTTATTAAAATTTAAAATACTATATAAAATATAGATAACATGTTACAAAATCAATCAATAAAAGATGGAAAAAGAAATTAGTATTATTATAATAAAAAAATATAATAAAAAACTTACCCGTTTTCAAACAGCTAAAAACAAGAAAATAATAAATCTCGTAGTAGTTCATTTTCTTCTCTGATTGTTAATCGTTCTTCAAAAATTTCGTTCCTTAGAACAATATTTTAAAATTTCGTTCAAATGAACGATTGTTTTCGTTCCTTTGAACGAAAAAAATAAAATATCAAAATTTCGTTCCTCAAAATATACATATCGTTCCTCCGTTTCGGAATTTCGTTCCTCGGGCGCAATATTTCGCCCCTCAAGCGCAATAAATCGTTCCTTTGGTCAACTTTCAATATTCTTATTGTTATTATTAATATTATTAATGTTATTATTATTCTTACTACTATTAATTATTTCTTATACAGTTTTGAATTATAATCATTAATGTATATTTAATCAGTTATGTTAATTGTTAAGCCATGTTAACAATACTTGTTTTTTGTTTTCAATATAAGTAATATCAAAAAGTAATAGGGCCATCCTAAGAAATTCGGCACCCGTAGGCTATTAAACGTAATGCGCGCCTCTTTCAAAGAAAATACACAGAATGGCATATAGGAGCGAGGTGTCTAAAAATGTTATACACGTGTCAGAACTAGAAAAAATCTGTTTATTACTTTTATACTAAACAAAAGTAAAATTTGATTAAATCAAAAAACATTTAAGAAAAAAAACCAACCTTAATCTAAACAAATGTATATTTATTACAAACTTATATATTTATTTTCCTAGCGTTATCTCTGGCAAACTGATTAATAATATCACTAGTATTTAAATTACCAAATAAATCTCTCTCGATGGATAAAATACTTAAATTATTGAGTTTGCTCTGTCCCAAAGAAAATCGTAAGTAATTTTTTATTCTTCTTATTGTTGAAAATGATCTTTCGCCACTGCAGTTTGTAGAGACGATACTTAAAAAAATGCGGAGTGCCGTGGTTACGTTTGGGTAGGATGGAAAAGTTGTGTTTTTCAAATAGAATGACCTTTGTAAACTAAATTAGAAATTTTAGAATTATTAAAAAGGTTTAGAATGGGGCAGTAACTCCTAACATACTACCTATAAAGGCCTTTTTAGTTTCAGGTAAATATATTACGTGTGGAATAATAATTTTTTTGTTATAACAATTGAAACTTATGTCAAGGAAGGAACCTATTGTTCCTTTCATTTAGAATTCAACTAACAATATCTTTTCTCAAAATTAAATAGATATTTATAGATAGTTTTTAAGGTATTTTTACTCCCTTCTAGTTTACAAACCTTATAAAAAACACGACTTTTCAATCCTACCCGTTTGAAAATGTACAGTATTGGACAAAACATTTGCAACCAACATCGAACAATGCTAAAAAGTGTTCCTAATTTTACATGTCTAAAAAACGAAACGAACTATACTACCACAGCACACAGTTCAGGAGTCTGGAGTCATAGCATGCCATGACATGAGCAATCAGCTGACAGGTGACAGCACACAGGCAGAATTTCGTTGACAAGTGCCATTTTGCAGCGGACAAAACAAGTGCAAATTTTTTGGTTTGTTTGTTTTTCTTAAGTTTGGTCCGTGTCAACGTCACGGAAGTTTTTTAATAATTAAAGGAAGTATCCAGAAGTTTCTAGAAGTTTCCAGAAGAAGTATCTGGAAGCATCCAGAAGTATCCAGAAACATTCAGAAGCATCCAGAAGCATAGGAAATCTTGGAACGGAAAATAAGAAAGAAAATTGTTGACGATTACGTCGGTGGAATGTCACAAAAAAGTATTTGTGATAAATATCGCGTCAAAAAATGGACCGTATCAAGATTATGTTCCAAATATCGTTTTACGGGGAAATTGACAGCAGATAACAAAGGTGGAAGACTGCATTTCACCACTGAAATGGCGAATGATCCTGTTCAGTGATGAATCGAAGTTCAACATCATTGAAAGCGATAGCATTAGCCGTGTACGTCGACCGGCCGGAAAACGCCTCGATTTACGTTACTGCCATAAGACTGTGAAGCATGGTGCAGGCAATGTAATGGTCTAGGAGTGTTTTTCTGCTAACGGTCTAGGTCCAATACATCGAATTGATGGAATAATCGACCGTTTCATGTATAAAAATGTTCTGAATGGTGCTATGTTACGTCATGCTGAATAGAATATGCCAATAAAATGGGTTTTTCAGCAAGACAATGATCCGAAACACACTGCAAAAGTAGTCCAGCAGTGGTTTAAAGACAACCACCTATCAGTGATGGATTGGCTGCCTCAATCTCCGGATCTCAACCCTATCGAGAACCTGTGGGAGATCGTCAACCACAGAATTAATCGTGAAGGTGTTCGTAAAAAGAATCAACTGTTTGAACAAATCCAAAAGGCCTGGGCAGCGATTGCACAAAGTTTCATTGATCACTTGATTGATTCTATACATCGAAGATGCAAGGCTGTGATTGACAACAATGGATTCGCCACGAAATATTGATAGCGAAATACAGATTGGTCAACATTTTGTGGAGTTACACTTGTTTTGTCCAGAAGAAAATGAATTTTTTTTAAATACTTTTGAATAATTTATTAATTTTCGTGTACAAATAATGAACTTTGTGATGAATAAAACTTGAAGAACTTTGTCTCTAAACAGTTACATAATTATTTCTCTAAATTGAAAAAATGCGGCACTTTTTTTATAAAGAAACTAAATTAGCATTATTTGGTTGTACTTGTTTTGTCCAATAGTGTAGATTCAAATTTTAACTTGATTATTGACTTTAAACTTAATTTTGCGGTAGATATATTTTTGGTATTTTCCATTAAATTCACATGTTTAAAATATAGACATTCTTTAATAAAGTTGTTTTCTAAATCAGTCTGATACATTTTTTCAAATAACTAGAAACCCAAATGTTGAATAAATGTTATCATTATGCGCATTTTCTTTTTTGTATTTCTGATTTTTATTAATAATAGCATAATATGTATTTATGCGGAGTTCGTCATTTGCATCAAATTGTACTTCTGCTGACGTATTCTTGAACTGTCTTTTTTTTTTCCGTATCCGTTTGTATTCATCACAGCCAGATAATTTTATACCTTCTGATTTGTAAAGGTTAAATGAATCTATATTTCGTTTTGGTTGTACAATTTTTTCTAATGTAACAAAGCATTCCATTGTAGTATCAACTTTTTGAAGCGATATATTAATTTTACCTGTGGTTTTTAGTATTTCACCCCAATATGCTATCATAATAGCAGTTTCCAATCAGTTGAAGTCATTTAACAACCTGTGAGCTTCAACTTTTGTTGCAGGCTTTTAAAAATTATCTTTATAAATTTTATTCAAAGCATCTTTAAATTTTTCCTAGCCGGAACCCACTGCTTTCATTGAATCAGCTCTTGCTGACGAACGACTGTCGCTAAATTTTTTAGGAAATTTTTTTTTTGCTGTTAGCGTATTTTTCAAAATTATTCATATATATATATATATATATATATATATATATATATATATATATATATATATATATATATATATATATATATATATATATATATATATATATATATATATATATATATATATATATATATATATATATATATATATATATATATATATATATATATATATATATATATATATATATATATATATATAAACAGTTCAACACAACAAGAAACCATTGTCCGCTCAAGTGAGCGCAACATTCCCGCCCCAAATTATTTTATTACTAAATGATTAATGTCATTTTTCATCACAGAACTTGATTCTTATTGCTTCAGAGGGGGTGTTCAATGCTTCTAGCAAATACAATTTGTCTACTGGTCTTTTATTATACGATGTTTTTCCATTAGTATTGTATTTAACTTTAGCAGCACGAATGAATCCGTCAGCCGATACAAGGAGGCTCTGTACAATGGCTGTATTCCGAAGACCTCGTCTAGTGTCCAAATCGTGAATCAGCAAAATGTCATTGACGGCTCTTTTATTTGTTCCTTTATTTTTCTTAAATTTGTGGAATTCTGTTAGATCTGTTAAATATTTTTTTTCCCATTTTTCCCAAAAATGATTTAGTGTATTTTCTATATACGTACATCTGATATTCAAGTTTGTTTTATATGTTTTGTCATTAATAGCTTTAAAGTTTGTTGAACTTCCGTATATTAAATGATTAGGGGTTAGTGGTGCGTCTCCAGGTGATTTATACATAAACGTGATCGGTCGATTTTTTAAGATTAATTCTACTTCGGCAATAAATGTTAATAGTTCTTCATATGAAAGCTGGGCTTTATAGATTATTTTTCGAAAGCAGCGTTTATTGGATCCAACTAATCGTTCAAAGAACCCTCCCCACCACGGAACAGCGGGGATGTTGAAATGCCACGTGATACCGAGGGCTGAAGCATAGTTTTTGAGTAAGATTAGAGGTGAACTGCGATCCATTGTCTGAGAGGATCTCGGAAGGTGTACCAGGTTTTGAAAAAGATCTCCGTAAACTTCTAATGCATGATTTAGAAGAAGTGTCTGAAACAAGATCTAAAAATAACGCACTTGTATTAACACATGTAAATAAAAATATCCACACTTTATATAAATTATCTTCTTCATAAATATTTTTAACATATAATGATCCTGCATAATCTACACCTGTAAATTTGAATGCATGATCATTACTTAAACGACATAAGGGTAAAGGTGGGGGAGGAGGATATAAATATGACAGTCCCTCAAACCGTTTGCAATTACAACATTTTTTATTCAGTTTTTTAATGTGGTTTCGTGCTTTAGGTATCCAGAATTGAGTTCGTATTTGATTTAAAGTTTATTTAATACCATTGTGCATTACTAAAGAATAGTTTTGAATAATAAGTAGGTTCGCAAATTCTGAATTTCGAGGTAGGAATATTGGATTTTTTGCGTCATATGTAATTGGTGAATTTTAAAGTCGACCTATGTATCGTATGATTCTATCTATATTTTGTAATTTCAGGTTTAGCTGAAGTTGCTTAAAATTTTTATCACTAGTTATTGCTCTTCGAACGAATATAAACCAAACCTTTAATGCTTCTTCTATTTCAATTAGACCTAAATTATATAAATTTAATTGTTTTTTATCTCTTTTAAGCTTTAAATTAGTTATAAACTGTAGGAGGAATGCTATAATTCCTAATAAATGCAAATAGTTATTAAATCGAGTAATGTCTCTCATATTCAAGTCTAAATTATTCTCCTTTAATACTAAAATCGCAGTGGCTTCTTCGATTTTGTCAATTAAATTTCTTAGTTCAAATTTTGGCTAATCCTTGGAATCAGAGTAAAGAAGTGCTGGTCCATCAAACTATATTTTATTATCAAATAATTTTTTAAGCTTGTGCCTCTGGATACTATATCTGCAGGGTTATTGTGAGATTCAATGTATCTCCAATTCGAAATTACAAATAACTGTCTATTATTTATATTCTTTCTTGGAATAATGGCTGCTTAACTTTATCGATATTATTTATCCAATGTAATACTATTGTAGAATTACACCAACAGATTATTTGCTTAAACTTGACAATGGGGTATAATTCTTTTTTAACTCCTGAAATCGTTACAGCTAATAATAAGGCTGCATTTAATTCTAGTTGGGAATTGAGGTGTTTTTAATTTGGGCATTCCTAGAATTCAAAGTTATAAGCAAAAAATTTATGTGCTTATCACTAAATAAGATAATAAGTATACACAACAACTATAAGCACTGTTTCTAGCACCAGTGCATCCATGTATTGATAAGTCAACAACATGACTTGGATAATGATTATGGTACCACCTGGGAATGACAATGGGTTTAGATCTTTTAATGTCATTGATAATGGCTTGCCACACGAATAACGTATTACCTTCAAGAGGCTTGTCCCAGTTTTATTTGTATATATAACTAAGTTGTGAACAGTTGTCATTAGAAGTATTCTGCACTCTCATTACTGTCGAAGACATCAGTGGAAGCAATTTGTAGTAGAATAGACTGATTATCAGTACCCGAAATTGCAGTTAGTTCACGTTTATTTTTTAGTTCATATGTTGCTGTTCTAGACAAAGAGCTACGTGATAATGATTACCACATTTATAACATCTAATACGAGATAACCAGTTTTTAGATATATCTCCACATTCTAAACGTTTAAAACAAAGGTATTTGTCATTGATGATTCTTTTTCTATTTTGAATGTTTGTTATTGACTCACAATATTGAGATTTATGTGGCTTATCATAAAATAAACATTCGACAAATTGTTGCAGATTAGTTAGACTATTACGATCAAAGTATAAATTTTCATTCATTTTTTTATTAAAAATATATTGAATGTTTCTGTTATGAATCGGTCTTTGATAATTATTTATACTTGTAAAAAAAGTCTCAGCTGTGTAACTTATATTGCCATTGTTATTTAAATTCAATGATAATTGTTCTCTGGCACGTAATTCTTTTTTAAAGATATTAATGACTGTTATAACATCCCATGTACTGTTGCTATCAAGTTGTCTATTTTACATTTTACTGCTAATTTTAAGATTCTCGAGGCTCCTTCCTTGTATTTCAATATTATCTATTAAACACCTTATTCTGTCTATTTTAATTAAACTGTGTACTCTTTCTAAACATAAAAGTTTTCTTATGTGGGAAGATTAAAAGTTTTTTTTATTGTCATAAAGTTCTTTAAGAATGTCTAAGGCTATTTTGTAGTTTTCGTTAGATAAACTAAGACCTGATGTGGATGATAAAGCTAAGCTGGGCCTCTTAAAAATCCTAAGATATGTTATCTTCTGGATTCCCGAAAGATCATTGTTTGCATTAATGGCACAATCAAAGTTTTTAATAAAGAATGTCTATTTTTCAGGTTCACCGTCAAAATTGTCTAATTTTAGAACATCTAATTTTACTGATTTGCGTTTAAAATTGCTAAAGGTGCTATTACGGTCAGTTTTAAGATCAAATTTTTTAAGTTGTTTATTAATTTTAAATATTTTGTTTTAAAATGTAAGATTAAATCCTGTAGAAGATTCTAGTCATTCTCTAATTAATTATCGTCCTCAATAAGTAAAGATATCTCTTCATTTTTTTCGTTTAATGTATCCTTTAAATCACTTAAGTGATGTAACTAGTTTTCGTCATCAGTTTGTTCAATTATCTCTAACGCTAAAAAAAAGGAATATAAATATAAATCCTCACCTTTGTGACAACTTGATCAAATATTTGTTGGAAAATCTTCTATTAAAATCTACGTATAATTTCATCAACATCAGCACGTATAATCTCTGCCACTGTGCTGTTGACATAATATAGAAATTTTGTATTTATTTCAAATTGTTCCCAACAACAAAAACAAACTTGTTGTAGACATAATGATGAAGTTAACATTATTAAAAAGATCTAAACTACTTTTTGTTTATATCTAAAATAGTAATTTCAATCAATTAAGGTACTTCTCTACCATTAAAATTAAAAATTTATACGACTGATTTTAACAAATAAGGAAGTTATTATATATACATATATAAACAACTTTCTATATTTAACGTTTTGAGCTAGGATATACATATATATATATATATATATATATATATATATATATATATATATATATATATATATATATATATATATATTCAAATATATATATTCATATATATATATATATATATATATATATTCAAATATATATATTCATATATATATATATATATATATATATATATATATATATATATATATATATATATATATATATATATATTCAAATATATATATTCATATATATATATATATATATATATATATATATATATATATATATATATATATATATATATATATATATATATATATATATATTCAAATATATATATTCATATATATATATATATATTAGGTATGTCCAAAAAAAAAAAATTTTTGAATTCAACCTAGCACAGTATCTCATTTTGTTCCTTTGATGGAAACTAACTTTTATGCAAATTTTGGCATTTATATTTTGATATTTACAAGTTGCTCAATGGAGGTGAAGTTTAACAGTACAGATAAACTTGCCGCGGCTGCACTTTTTTGACTGAAATCTTCAAACTAGAATCACAAGATGATAAAATGTGATAGATACATTACTATTCATTTCAAAAAGACATACTGGTTATGACACAGACAGTGCAGACACAATCAGTCACACATTAACAATTTTTAATTTATCAAAATTAATATCAAAGAAATTAACAGCAATTTTTAAACATGTTCGTTCAGATTTTTATTGCATGCTCATTTATTGTTCACGTGTTCAAAGTTCAACTTATTTCAGTTTTCAAGCTTGCGACGTCTACCGAGGGGCATATGCCATCAGGGTGCTTTTCCGGTAATCTGGAATGCGCTTCCTGTTGTCCTCAACAACTTGGAGGAGTTTCTGCATTTCAGACTCTGTCTTTGTTATTGACTGGTTTAAAGAACTCATCAGTGCAATAGAGCGCTCGGCAGTATCATTGATAACCTTGAGAGAAGCAACAACAGCTTTGGTTTTTCGAAATGAAGCACTTTCTTCCCAACTCGGGGGCTCAAGTCCTGACAAGGTAGTTATGTCAAGTCCAAGTGACTGCAATGCAGCTGTTGATGATGATGTTACCAGTTCATGTAGTTGCTTTTTCTCCAACTCATTACATTTTGATACTGGAAACTTGTTTCCCCTGACACTCCAATCATCTCCACTGAGGATCATGGCTTCCGCAATCAACTTCTTTTCTTCATCAGATACTTTGCTGGAGAACAGTGAAAGAGGAACCATTTCTGTTCCAAGATACCACATGTGATTCTGCAATTTCTTCAAAGCTGCTTGTGAAACAATCTTGTGTACCTCAGCATATCTTTTTATTCTCTGAAACAGCATCAAATCATTCAATGGTGCATCACTTGCCACTGGACAAGCAATCCAAGCTGGTACATAAATGTGAGCTGCAAAAATGCAAAATTCAGACAGGTTTTTCACCTCAGTTGAAGTCAGTTTGAATTCATTCCTGAACAGGAAAATCTTCATGCAATATATGACCTTTGCCATCCATCTTGCCATATGGTAGGCACCCGGCTGTCTGAAATGATATGGCTTTCCACCAGCTGGATGGCTTGGTAGTGTGAAACCCAATATCAAGAGGCAAAGTTCAATCATTTCCTTGTAGTCCTCTCGTGGTAGATATGACGTTTGACCTGACAGAAAAGACAGCAAGAAAGGACCAAATTCTGCTCTGAGTTGTTGCAGCTGTGGAACTGTAAGTCGCGTATCATCAAGTGGAACAAAGTTCATTTGGTCAATAGTTGGCCAAGACTGCTGAAAACGTTCAAATAGAGCAATGTTTGGGCCACGGCTTGGGCCAAGCAAAACTGTGAACACTTCACCAATAATCACTTCATGCACGTGGTGTCGACAAGCTAAGTATAGAAGGTTTCTCCCAATTAGTTGTTCCAGCAAGACACATGCACCATTTTTGGAGCCCGTATTCGAAGCTGTGGTGTCAAAGCACATGCCAACGATTTCACTATCAACATCCCATATTTTGGCCAACTGGAATGTTGCCTTGGCTTGTGCTACCCCAGTGCCCGCTGGAAGCTTGACAATTCCCAAGATTTTCTCCAAATCTACACCAGTCACACTAACACCAATTCTGTCAACATTGGACTTTGGATCCTCTAAGTTCGTGCTGTCTCGCATGATTTTACCGTCCCAGTGGACCACCAGAGGCGGTTTTTCACTGGAGAGAAACTCCTGCCGAATACAATTTTCTGTTGAAGATCGGTGTTCAATACGTTTGCGACGTACTGTTGATCTTGACAATGGCGTGCTTTGTAGGTCCTGTCCACTGGCTTTAGCAATTGCTGCTGCCAAAATTGTAAACTTCTGGTCAGATAAATTTATGCGATCAAGTGTTGATGAAACATCTGGTGACGACAGAATGTTCTCCAAAATGCGTGGTCTTTTGTTAACTGTAGTCCATTCATGTCCAGCATCCACTACCTCACATAGCTGCTTCTTGTGATATACTGGTATCTCTATTTCGTAATCATCATCTTCAATATCCTCCTCTTCTGCTCCGTCACTGTCGCTTTCAAGACCATGATTGTGATGGCTGCTTCTGGCACTTGCATCTCTCCTTTCTTCCTCACGCTGTTTCCTTTCAGCTTCAGCCTGTCGACGCTGTGCTGCTCGCTCTTCTTGTTGTGATAATCTTACATCTTCTCCACTCATCTTCATCATGCGAGCATTCCGCTGATCCTCCAAAAACAGCTTGTCTTCATCGATTTTGATTAATGTACCTGTATCTTTGTGAGCAATATCAAAGAGTAGATTCAGTTTGTCTTTAAATGCTTTTTCTCTAGCTAGCTGTGATTCACTTTCTCTTCCTTTATTCTTCTTGATCAAACTGTATTCATCAAAGCATACCTTCACCTTTGACACGATATGTGGTTGATAGGTCATTGGTATCCGTGCCTTGCTCCAAATTTTTACCAAATCAGATGAGGTTGACTTTGCACTGGCAGATACTGTCTGTTTTATTGTTTTGTGGTAATGGAAAAATGTACGAAGAACATCGCCCGTTGTCGGAAGGACATTACTCGGTAGGTCCTTTTCAGGTTGACCAATCAGCCAAACAGCAGTTCGAGTGCGTGTCAGTGGTACAGCGTTTGACTTTGCAACCATTTTCAGCAACAGTCTAAAATTAAGATAGAAGCATTTTAGAATTAATAACAAGATAGGCCTATTAATTCAATGAATTCATATAAAAATGATTTATTAGAATATATTTTATTATTTTTATAATGGATTCGGATTGTCACAAATAAAGTTTGAAACCCTACTAATGGTTCAACACAGCATTAAGCAGGTTGTCTATAGTTCCTACAACTGTTTAATAGGATGATCAAATAATTATGAAATCAGCACAAAGTAAGAAACTAATTGAAACTATTATAATTACCTTTATTGAGAGTTTACATCAATGTATTAAATAAATTCTGTATAAATTCACAAGTTTGCTGAAATAATTCTCATTTGCTACATTGACAATGACATCATCATAGAATATCTAAATTCTAAAAACACTAAATAAATAAGTAATGCAAATGCAATGGTGCTTTACAGTCAGTAACCTTATCATAAAGATTGGTCAAATGGACAGATTATTTTCTGTTGTTACAATTTTATCGCGGACTCGCGGGTAACCCAATGCTGATGCATATTGAAAAACCTTTGGGGCCATTGAGCAACCCCTAAATATTAATTGATTAGGGATCTTTTTGGAAACATGACTAAATATTGAAAAACGAACAAAATGAGCCTATGTGCACTAAAATCGGAAGAATTTTTTTTTCCTCCATGTATATGTGGACATCCCTAATATATATATATATATATATATTCATATATATATATATATATATATATTCATATATATTCATATATATATATATATCAGTGTGGTTTGAAGCACACTAAACCAGCTGAATCCTGTGATGGTTTGACTCCCATCGATCAAGTTTTGCTTTGAATGAATTCGTTAAAGTAGCCCTGACAATATTTTCAGGCAGTGCATTCCAATAATTTGCAGCTCGATTAAGCAAAATATTTTCTCTATACTTATGTACTGAAAATTCTTTTGAATATTTTAGGCTATGGCCACGAGTACAATTTGATTTAAATGAATAAATTTTTTTAAATTCAACTTTATCATAACCTTTGAAAATTCTATATAGTTGTATAATGTCTCCCCGTTGTCTTCTTTTAATAAGTGAGGGTATTTTAAGATAAGCAAGTCGATCTTCGTAGCATAATTTACTGATTTGAGGTATTAGTGGCACGACGCTGTACTTTTTCTAAAATGTATATATCTTGTTTTTGATAAGGAGCCCATATTGGTATAGCAAACTCAAGTAGCGGTCGAACAAATGAAAGATATAGGGATTTAAGCAGTTCAGCATCAAATCGAACAAAAGATTTTTTTATTATGCCCAACATGCGATTAGCTTTGCTTGCACTCGATAATACTTGATTTTTCCACTTCAAGTTATCTGAAAAAATCACTCCTAGGTCCCTTTCTGAATCTGATGTATTGCGTTTACAACCATTTATATAAATTGGATATCTCTTATTTTTATAGCCATAGTGCATAACTAGACACTTTTCAATATTAAAACTAAGCAGCGAGTCTTGTGTCCAAGCATATGCAGAGTTTAAATCGCACTGTAGTTTATTATGTAACTCATCAGAAGAACTAATTGACATGATTTTTGTGTCATCAGCATAAAATTTTGAAATATTTTTCAGAGACTCTGGAAGATCATTTATATAGAGTATAAAAAGTAGTTGACCCAATACTGAGCCTTGGGGAACTCCGCTGTGCACCTCAGCCCAAGTTAAAATATAATCTCCTATAACGACTCACTGCCTTCTATTAGATAAGAAAGCTTGAAACCAATCAAGTGCCGAGCCACTAACACCATATGCTTTAAATTTTGAGATAAGCCTTTGATGGGGAACGCTATAAAACGCTTATTAAAAATCAAGTAAAACTACATCAACAGGAATTCCTTGATCGACATTTCTTGTAATATAATCTAAAGTTTCAAGTAAATTTGTCGTACATGACCTGTTTTTAACAAACCCATGCTGTTGATTAGCTATAATATTATTTTCATAAAGATATTTTTTAAACTTTCTTTTTATTATGCTTTGAAGTATTTTAAAAGTAACACAAGGTAGTGATATAGGTCTATAGTTTCCAGAATCAGTCTTGTTACCTTTTTTATATAGTGCAGCTATATTTGCTGAATTAAATTGATTTGGTAGTTAACTTTTTTCTATTGATTCAATAAAAATTATTGTGAGAGGAAGAGCAAAGGCAATAGCACAGTTTTTTAATATAGATGGATGTAACTTGTCAACTCCATACGCTTTGATTTGATCAAGATTATTTAGCTTTTCAAGGACATCATCATAATGGATATCTTCAGAAGATAGATTAAAGGTGTTATCATTGATTCTATTTTTAAATAATGGAGTGCACTTCTTATTTTCTTTGACAAACACGTTTTGAAAATTTATGTTCAGTAGATCAGCAATCTTTTCTGAATCTTGAGTTATTTCACCGTTTGGTTGTCTCAGAGCTTATATAGAGTCTTTAACATATTGTTGTGAATTCATATATCTATATAATAGTTTTGGGTTCTTTTTAGCTCCATCAACAATTATTAACTCATACTTTCGTCTTGCTATAGAAATTTTAAATGAAACTCTTTTTGATAATTCTTTATATTGTTTACAAAGATTTGAGTTTACCCATTTACTCGAACAATTTCTGTATCTTAAGTTTCGCTTTTCTCTAATGAGTGAGATTAATTCTTTGGTCAGCCACGGGTTCTTTGATGACGGGTTCTTTGATGAATTCACAAACAAAGTGTTTATAGGTACATATAAGTTACATGCTTCTTGAGTGTAATGAATTAACTCGTCATGCATTTCTTGAACATTTTTGGCATGAAAACATTGAAGCCAATCAACACTTGTAAGGAAAGCACAAATACTATTATAATCTGCTTTTCTATATAAAAGTTTATTCCCCTCTGTATTTACACTGATTGTTTTGTTTTTAAGAATAAAATCAAAACACATTATTAAATGACCTCTGGATGAGTTTCCTAAAACAAATTTATTATCGATGGCAGTTATATTTGCAGACTGAGTAGTGAGTATAAAATCTAAAATGTTTACAGCAGATTTATTTGTTGTTTGAAAGGTTGGTAAGTTTACATGCTGATATAGGTAATTGTCATTTATTATTTGGTAGAAAACATGCTCCATATCTGATGATCCTTTAACAGAGTTTATAGAACCATTGGACCAACTAATCCCAGGAAAGTTAAAATCACCAGTTATAATAAGATCTTTGAAACCTTTTTGGTCAACATATTCTCTTGCATTTTTAAATAAGTTTTTAATATCTGTCATATTCGTGACAAATACATCATTGTGAAATCATAAGGTCTATAAATACATCCATACATACATATATATATCATTGCCAAATTGGATTACAGCCCAGACATTTTCTATTTGACTTAATGTAAATGCATTATCGTTAAGTTCATAAGAAGTAAATTTAGCATCAATATAAATGCATACACCTTCACCTCGACGATCATCACATCTATCTTTTTTATATAAACAATAACCCTCCAAATTGCAGAGAGAATTAGGTTTGAACCATGTTTCAGTACTGCTCATAATTTTAGAATTGTAAGTTGCAACTACTAATTTAAATTCATCAAATTTGTTATCAAGAGATGTGGCATTAAGGTACTTGCAACTTATTTTTTTAATATTATTCATAGAAAACAGACAATTAGCCTTACTGCCTAACTTCGATTGTTTTTT